TTCCTTTTTTATTCTCTTTCCCTTTCCCTTTCCCTTCTCTCTTTCTCTCTTATTTATTTTTTGGCGGGGGGGGGGGGGGGGGCAAGAGCCTTTCGCCCCCGTTTCCCTCTTTTCTTCTTCTTCTTCCTCTTCTTTCTTTCCTTTTATCTTCCCTTTCCCTTTTTTCCTTCTCTCTGTCTCCCCCATCAAAGAGACCACTCTGTAATCAAGACCATTCCATTTCACTTAATACATTTTCGATATACTTAAATTGGCAACTATTACCTTCTGTCCGAGATCCTCATTTTAAACGACTGATGCGAAAGACTAGTCGACGCACCCTTTCGAGAAAACCCCCCCCCTCCCCCCCCCCCGCTTTCATCGAAAGGGTGTGTTAAAATGGTACTCCGCTCTCAACGCACCCTTTCGAGAAAAGGCCCCCCTCTTTTATCGAATGGGTGCGTTGAGCACACCACACCGCGCCGCACCGCACCGCACCCTTTCGATGAAAGCCCATATTTGTTGTATTGACCTACAGCGTATTATATTGGAGTAGGCCCTAGATTAAAAAGAAAAAAAACCTCGAGGACGCCCTCTGTTGTCCTTTGAGGGTCACTTCGTAGCTGAGCTGATGTCCTTTTGAGTTTGTCCTTTCTCGTTTTCGTGCTTGATGTCTATTTGCTTACCGTAAACCAAAACGCCCTCTGTTGTCCTTTGAGGGTCACTTCGTAGCTGAGCTGATGTCCTTTTGAGTTTGTCCTTTCTCGTTTTCGTGCTTGATGTCTATTTGCTTACCGTAAACCAAAACGCCCTCTGTTGTCCTTTGAGGGTCACTTCGTAGCTGAGCTGATGTCCTTTTGAGTTTGTCCTTTCTCGTTTTCGTGCTTGATGTCTATTTGCTTACCGTAAACCAAAACGCCCTCTGTTGTCCTTTGAGGGTCACTTCGTAGCTGAGGTGATGTCCTTTTGAGTTTGTCCTTTCTCGTTTTCGTGCCTGATGTCTATTTGCTTACCGTAAACCAAAACGCCCTCTGTTTCTTCTGACCTGTACTTTGTCTATTTTGCTCTGACCTTTGATTTATTCTTTGTTAATTGGTCCTTTCTTCTGGGTACTTTGTCTATTTTGCTCTGTCCTTTGTTTGTTTGTATGCTTCTTTGTTTGTTTGTATGCATCTTTGTTTGTTTTTGTGACTGTTGATATTGGCCCCTTTGGCGCTCCATAAGAAAAGGCTATAACAATAATTGATGAATAGCATGCTTCGGGTAAAACCCACTGACATATGACCCCTTAACGAATAAAACCATTGTAGTTTAATAAGTGCATTTCATTCCATTGCATGTATGTTTGGAGCATGTATGCTGTTTGTACAGTCACACGGTCTTAAAAAAGTTGCTTGAAAATATTTCAGAAATTGACAACTACTAAATTTCTAACGTGACTTTACAGACTTAAAGCCTCCGTGACCGGAATACCCAAATTTGAGAAAATAATACGGCTGTTGGAATGTTTGAATTATTCCTGGCTATTGACTCGTTCCTGGATGTAAAATAGTGGACTTTCATGCATGCAACCATCGTGTCACTTGTCTATTTGGTAAGTAGAAATGACTTCAACTCCGTATATTTGAAGAAGTGAATTTTGTTTCAATGATCTATAGGCTAGAACGTGGACAAAGTGCTACTCTATCTAATGGAAGAACTACTGGTGTGTTTCTAGCGGGAGTCGTAGGCATTTGCCTCATCAGTGTCCTGACATTATAAATTACCGAGATTATTCATAACCATGAAAACTACTATAGATCTCATCGTCCATTTACGGCAGCCATGGAACGTAATCTTCAGTTCTGACAATGACGGGACAATGTATTTTGACAGAAAGTATACTTTATACTAGACCTATATAATTATATATAACTCTAAATGATATATCAACAGCGATTTGTTTTGACTCTCGGGTAAAGTTATTTTTCACAAAGTCATTCGAGGATGAAGGTAGCCAAATCAATGTGTATGGAATTGCCGTTTTGATGAGTGTACAGATCGCATATGTCCACATTCAACCGCTACACTATTACACTATTCACCATGTATGCACAGATTTCGGATGGAAAAACTAATAGTTCGCTTTATTGGTTCTTTAAAAAAGAATGTCTACAGACGCCAAATTGGATTTTGCAATTCACACAATACCAAACATTAGAGGCAGCACCACCCAAAAAATTGTGTTTTGGTCCTCCTTGGAGAGACCTTCATACCACATTTTACATAAAATGATTTTAAAATAATGAATATTTCAAATGAGAAAGTTATCGTTTAAATAAGCATCCTTCACAATAATGATCAAAAGAATTTGAGCATACAAAAGTTCGAACATTGAGGGCTGTAACACCGAAATGCTCTGAGGTTTTTCTTATACCACACTAGTCTACGAAAGTTTTATAAATATCTGAATTACTCTGCAAATGAAGAGAAGAAGAAAAAGGAAGAGAAGAAAAGGAAAAGAAGAAGGAGAAGGAGAAGAAGGGAAAGAAGAAGAACAACAAGAAAAAGAACAACAAGAAGAGGGAGAGGGACAAAAAGAAAAGGAAGAAGAAGAAGTGGAAGAACCAGAGGGAGGAGGAAAAGAAGAAGTAGAAGAAGAAGAGGGAGAATAAGAAAATTGAGGAGAAGAAGAAGAAGAAGAAGAAGAAGAAGAAGAAGAAGGAGAAGAATGCATGGCAAATATAGTTGTTTGAATCGAGAGTTAAATCAATTAAGGCTATGTTATTCCCGGGCCATGAACAGAAATTACAAAATGGTATAACGTAACGTGCTAATCCTGTACCTTGCAGAATGTCGTGAGTGCTGGATCACCTAGATCGGTTTTCGGACTTCGCGAGTCATCGCAAAAGTTGAAGTGAGTTACATTCATGGATTTTGCTCGATAATTTCATATACTCTAATACGAGTGTAAATTTACTCCTTTACTCTTCACTCTAGGAATCACTTCCTTTAGACTTGTATCCACTTCAAAGTAGATATTCATTGATTTTAAAAACTAACTTTAGTTTCATTATTGCAAAGTTGAAACTTTGATTCGACAAGGTCATCAAAATTCAATGCATGGAAACATTCGAAGTAACGATTATTATAAATTACAAAACGCTTAAATACAGCCCCGGCATAGCACCTCAAGAGCTCTCCGAACGCTGCTGAGATGTGTGACATCACAGTATGGACATGACTTGCACAAGCAGACGATGTCCCATGACATCTCACACATTTTCAGTGCATGTTTTTTCATCTTCTCTCGAGTTCTTTCTCTCTCTTCACTACCGTCAGGCTAAATGTATAATGTATTGCCTCACTCTAAACCCCGCGCATGGTTTTATTTTGATGACAAATGCAGCGATACAAAAATAAAGGAATCTGTCGATTGTAAACAAAATAAGACGCCATTGTATATTCAGCTGCACACACCGGGGTATGTTCGGCGTTTCAAGTGGGAACAAATGCCGTCCTTAATATCATTCCGGGGGTTTTCTATTTGAAAGTCTGGTTTGTTTGATTGTTAATTAACCCTTATCCTGTGTATTTACAAGCAAAAGATTTAGTTAGCAGAATCGGGTCATATCCCCTTTTGAATGGCTTGACATGCCATTACATTTATAATACACTAAACTCTTTATAATTTGAGAAATAATTTGAGAAAAAATAGCTTTGCAATTATGTTCATTCTCTATGGGATGTCGTCTGCTTGGGCAGTGTTGGTCCATATAGTGACGTCATTAAAACACCGTTATTTTTTCTGGCGAATCTCTCGTATATCCCAGCTGCTATGAAGGTGGTTGTATTTTTATTTGTATAAATCACCCGGTATGTAGTTGACCTAAAACTTTTACGATGGCCATCTGTTAGCTTACCAGTTTCTAGTGATACATTAGTTGACATATTTGTGATTTTCTTTGAATTTCACCTTTTGGTAGTAGTTAAATACCTCTTTTGGGGTGAATTTCCTTTTTTGCGCATGGATTCCATTTCGATATAATTGAACCCTGATATGACTCCCCAAAATAAGAATTTTTGAGAAAAAAATGACAATACAGTATGGCTATATCTCTTATAAAGTTATAAGTGGGATGTATTTATTTCAGTATGTTTTCATACCAACATGCTTCATTCAGTTTGTTCCTTCTCTCATTCCCCATCACTATGCATTCCCTATAACTATATGATTCCCCTTTTTCTCCCTGTCGAAGTTTTGATAGATTTATTTTAATTTGTCAAGTATAGGAAAATTTATTTTCTGGAATATACAAGAAAGAGAAAGAGATATATGATGATATGGAGGCTACCTCAAATTGACAGGATTTTACAATTTTCTCCTAAGAATGTATCAAGGTCCAGCCACGGCCATTCTATTTGACCCCAAAAATATGTTTTAAAACTATAAATAAATAAAATAATGGTAAATCAACGAACATAATAATCTAACAGACATGCATTTGAAGCTATACACAGTGATATATATAATTATTTTATAACCTACACTTATAACTCAAAGCATTTTTTTTCTTCTCTTCTTCATTGCAGCACGGAAGGGCACACACAACCAACCACCTAGCAAGGTTGGGACTCGTGCACTAACATCATCTGGGGCTAGCATCGCCTTGAACTATCCAATTGCAATCGAACGGTACCCTCATTAAGTGCTGAAGAAGATAGTACGAATCAATTAATGCATACAGCTCTGGCATACAGCTAGTTATTACAGATTGCCGAAAGGATTTTTTCATACCCGTTAAATTGGTAAAGTTGTTCTATTCTGGCACTTATTCTTAATAAAATACAGTCTCTCGAGATTATGTGAACGTAATGGCGTCATTTGAATACACAGTTTATCGTAATCTGCAATGTCCAATTTGTTTAGAGCTTCTTAGTGATCCTAAACAGTTGTCATGCACACATACGTTCTGTAAGAAATGCCTTAGTGATATGCTAGAATTTCCATCAAAAAACGAGGCAAACACTTTACTATGTCCGATATGTCGTGGCACAACGCATGTAAGGGATGGCAATGTTGTGAATCTAAATACAAACGTTCCTCTTATGTCTCTTGTTGATGGCGTCAAGAACAGTCAACAGTTCTGTGAAATGTGTGATACGCAATCAAGAGCTGTACACTTCTGCTGTGACTGCGGTAAGAATTTGTGCACCGCATGTCTTGAGCTGCACAGCAAATGGCCACCTAATCTCAAACACAAAGTAGTGGGTGTCGAAGACATCAGAGAGGGCAAGGTGGTCCTAAAGAAGAAGGTCTACTGTCGAGAACAAGTACACAAATCAGATGGCGAAAAGCACGTCTGTACCAATGTATGCACCACTTGTAAGAAGCTCATCTGTATGAGATGCTCGATCTACCACGATAAGAAAGGCCACACTGTTCAAGATGTGGGGGAATACAATACTTCCTTCAAGAAGGACATTGAATCCCTACAGGCCCTGGGTAAGACCAAAGCTACAACCGTCAAGACTCACATGGCATGTGTCGATAATCAGCTGAAGCGTGTCACTGATCACATCGATAAAGAAAAAGCTAAAATCAACAAGATATGTGAAAAGGCTATCATCAAAATAAAAGAAAGGAATGTGACCTTGAACAAGCAATTAGAGGCTCAGAAAGAGGAATTATGCCAAAGTTTGAAGAATATGAAAGTTGCCGATGAGAGGTTGGTAACGAGTATTGAGAGTGCGAGTGAATTGGCGAGTAATAGTTTGAAAGCCCCACTAGAAGGGGACGTTGTTGCTATTCGTGATTCACTGTATGGTGAGTTGAAGAATGTGCTGGATCAAGATGATCCCAAGAAGAAGCCTGCTAGTGATGTAGCTAACCATGCAGAGGAACTGACGTTCACACCAAGCAGCCACCCTGATCAATTATCCATGGGTGAACTCAGGTTCATAAAATGCAGACCGCAATGGTATATGCGAACCTCAAAGGAAGACATAAATGCGATGGCTGCTACGAAAAATGGTAAGGTAACCCTTAGATTTCACAGTGGAAGTACCGTCATCATCTCTGAGGCTGGGAAATTGCTGCAGACGGTGTTCAAGGATATCCATGTCCATTGGTTAGGATTCCTCTCTGATGGTCGGTGTGTTGTACTTGATACAGTTAACAACATGTCACTGTACACATCAGAGTATAAGAAGCTGGGTGTGACATTCAACACTCTAACTGACAGTGAAGGTGGGGTTAGTATCTTCACTGTAGACAGTGATGATCTGATCTATGTCGGCTACATGAAAGCCCAGAAGATCCAGGTATTCTCACCATCAGGTGGGAAGGCGATCAGGGAGATACAATGCGATGGGTATAAACCTGAGCAAATCACTAGTTATGGTGATTCATTGATCGTTGGACAGGGTAACAATGCGATAATACGTATTAATAGAAAGGGTGATGTAATGCATAAAGTAGTTGGTTCGAGTCGTCATAAGCTCTTCGCTTGTGTGACTCAAGGTAATTCAATCCTGATTGCCTCTGTTAGACACGCAGAACTTACATTAGGGCTGCTCAATATCGATGAGTACACCAGCGACCTAAAGCACGTCAAGACCCTCATCTCTGAATACAAGATTATAATTTGTGAGGATCATTGGTACTACCTTCAGCATTTCCATTCAGGAGAGCTATGCTTTTGTACGGCAGATAGGTTCTACATATTCCACCTATCCACCACTCCAGTTAACTCGTGATTATCATGTTCAGTAGAGTTTCATACCTCATACGAGATTCCACTGGACGAGCGCAATTAGCGTAAGAACATCGGACGCATTTTAATTCCAAAGCAATCTTTTCTCTTCAACAAAATTCTCCTAAACGTTTCGCAACACGCTAATTTAATAATCTCACTGCACAAAATAATTGCATTAAAAAGGAAACACCAACCTAAGTTATGTTTACTCTGTTGCTAATCCAGACACCGTCATTATGGATGGAGGGAGGGGTGCGCGATAGTCTTACAAGAGGCCCATTTATTTTATTTCTTATATATATTTTTTTTATTGATTTATTTTTGTTGTTAATTTTTATTTATTTTTTCTTGGGGGGGGGGGGGGGGGTGGGGACTTCTATTTACACCACTTGAATAACCCTCGAATCCTCGAAGAGCTGATTCTGCTCAATCCAATTTGGGGGTGAGTAGTGCGCCTGCGCCACTCGTCGGTGTCCTGCATTCGTTAGCTCGAAAGTGAGGAAAGTCACGAGAGAAACAAATCGGCATCTTATCAAAGTTTGTTTTTACGCTGCAAACATCGTTGAAGCTTTGGCTGGCGTTTAACAAAAAAAAAACACTCCACAGGTGAATTTTTCGATTTAGACTTTTAGTCGGTTTGCCGGTGTAAAAGTGGAATTTAAGACCAATCGACGTTTTTGGTTGCCGTGTCAATGCAGCTAATGTATGTAATGTAATAACAATATGATAATCTCGAATTAAATAGCGCTTTCGGTCTCTAAGTGCTTTACAGGTATTATTACCCCGGTCATCAGATTCATTAACGCACAATATGCACCATCTCCACTCCCTGGGGAGTATTCCGACCATATGGACACCGTGAGGGCATATGGCAATTACTTACACAAATGCTTTCGTCACCCTACGTGGTCCACATTTAATTCCTGGGTATCAAGTGGCAAATGTAGATTAATACCTTGCCAAAGGGTATTAGCGCCGTGTCGGGGATCGAAGCCACGACCTTTGAATTTTAAGTGGAGTGCTTAAACCACTCGACTACGACACCTCTGAGAAATAAATACACGAGACCACTGATAGTAGCTGATTGTGGAAGGGGTGTCATCTTCTTTTCATTTTCCATTGTTACCTCTCACCCTCTCTTTCTCATTTTGTTAGCCTATTTTCTCCTTTTTCCGATTACCCCTCACCCGTAGCTATCCCAGTGGTTTTATGTTATTATGTAGCTATGGATTTGACTTTTTTGAGGGGGTGCTCACTATGCTATCCCGGCCCCTCCCGGACAATCCATACCTCTGTATCTTCTATTCAGTCTTTTATATATGCACTCTACACGATCGAAATGGCAAGAGAATTATCATTATTTGATATTGATTTGTATTGGCTTTCGACCGGACTTGCAGGATTGATTTGGATTACGTATACTAAATTCGAAGTACCATCATTGGGTCTAATTCCAAAACAATTTTATCAAATATAGAACTATGTTATCGTTGTGTGTTATCATTGTGGGAACATTTTGATAAAAAGTGATACCCAAAGATTGTATATTTAAATGATTGATAGACTGCCAAAAAAGACAAATTCATATTGTTGATTGGCATTGAATTAGAACCACGTGGAATATAATATCGGGAAACAAGGCTTATTCAACTCAATCATGCACGTACACTCAGGTATTTTTGTATTTCAAGATGATCTATGTCTTTCGTAACATGTTTTAAGCCTTTACCTTGGACCAATTCTCGAACTTTTGATGGTTCTACAAAGCCACAGAGAAAGATTATTTGTATAGTTTTTTAGAATTGCTTGAATATTGAAAATAACTGATGGAACTTTGATCATTGAGCCAACCTCTGTTGTTTTTATTTTTCAGTCAATTGTATTTGTGTTCTGTATCCTATCTTGTAGAACAGCAGCTAACTAACAAGAAGGTCCAACTACCTTTAATACATAAACTATGAATACATTCTTAAACTTTAAAAATGTGTTCATAGTTTATGCATTAAGTATTGATGTATTATATTATGTTTGTATTAAGGAATATCTCATTTGGGCGAAATTAATAATAAAATGATAACATTATTACACTTCCTCAACATAGTCCATGATAAATTATTTGTAATACGGTCAGTGAATGCATCAGTTTTGTTGTAATAAAATGTAGAATACCAAATACTTACCAATGTAGGACCGGCATATAATCAGATAAGTGTATTTTGTAATCATTGCCATTGTCATGTTATAATGATGTAATTTTTCTTTGTGTTATTAATTTAATCTTTTCTTGTTCAGATGTTTACCTTATTAAAATGTGCTTTAAAAATCACAATAATCTTCAACAAATATTCTCATTAGTCATTATTGACCAATAAAGCTGAAATTACATTCATTTTCCTGACAAAAAGGTCAAGTTTTTTAAAATAAATACCTGACATGCATCTATACCGCCTTCCAAGTGGCCAGCACACAGCATAGTCTCCTCTATCTTGCCATTGTAAGACTTCTTAAAGTTACAGATCCTGCGTGGTATTAGAGGTATCCTGGCCTCGTGTAAGACATCTGGACCATTTCCACCCACTGTATATAGGTAAAATGGGGTTTAAAACTGAATTGTGATATTGGCAATGAAACGACAAAATTGGAAAGATATTTAAGAATGGAACCGTACGATATCCCATGAAGAATTATTTAAACTGTTGACACTCAGCCAGAAGGGCATTTATTCTGGCTCTCAATAATAGTTTAATGTTATATCATCAGCGATGTGGTGCACGTAATGGTCATGAGTGAATGAAAGTATATTGGAAGTCTGAGATGGCATATATACTGGGGTCATAAAGTACCAAAAATTCGGATGAATAACACGTCATTGCGTGATAAGAATATCAATAACGATCGCAGCAAACTCAGGGTATACTGCAAATATATTTATCGTGATGGAATTAAGAAAAAGAAGACAGGATAACAAAAGATTTGTTTGTTTGTTTGAAGTTTATTATCCAAACAAAAAGTACATCGATATAACAATCAAATGTGAATGAGAAATGAAAGCCCTAACTGGAGTAAAGAGATGCAGATATACATGTATCATAGAGTTTGAATCAATCAAATAGAAAGATACTAACAAACAGAGAAATTGATAGAAGAGAGAGAAGGGGCCGGCCGAGGATAGGGAAAACGCAGGCGCGGATCCAGGGGGGGGGGGGGCCGAGCGGGCCTTGGCCCCCCCCCCCCCCCCGCAAAAAAAAAAAGAAGAGAGCGAAGAAAGGAAAAGAAGGGAAAGAGAAAGAGGAAAGAAAGGGAAAGAAAGAAGAAGAAGAAGAAGAATAAAAGAAAAGGGGGAAGAAGGAGATCGGGGGGACCGAAAGGGCCTTTCCTCCCAGGCTGTTGACCCCCCCCCCCCCCTCCAATAAAAAAAAAAGAGAGAAGGAAGGAAAGGGAAAGAAAAAAGGAAAAGAGGAGATACTGGCGTACTAATGGGGGGGGGGGGCTTTGGGGAAATGAAATTCAAACGTGGTTTATTTATAATTCCACAACGGTGGATTACAAATAATGCTGAAATGACATAATTTCCGAGATTTGTCCTCACTTTTTAGTAAATTATACGTTTGTATATGTGTTTGTTGGAAAATGACAAATTCCTAAATTTACAGCCAGGCACGAAATTATGATTCTTGAGATTCCTACATGACTTGTCAGGGCCCGAGGTACGGCAGGGATCGGGAGCCTCGAGCTCCCTCCCCCCCCCCCCCCCCCCCACTTTATTTGAAAAAGTATATTAAAGAGAAAAAAAATAGAATGAGCGCAAGAAAGAACGAATAGTTAACTGCCAGTGTTAAAAAATGAGTCATCGATATGCTCATCTGACCGTGATTAAATGCCTAAAACCCTTAAGCTTCCGGGGCTCTGCCCCCTGGATTCCACCTAGGGCGCTACGGCAGGCCCTTAGATGCTCATCTGACGGTAATTTAATGCCTAAATCCCCGCTTTTGGGGGATCCGCCCCCTGGACCCCACGCCAAATAGTGACCTGCCAGTGTCACAAAATAATAGGTATTAAAAAAAATGATCATCTGATCTTAATTAAACGCCTAAAACCCCTGAGCTTCCGGCGCCGGACAAGTTATCAAAATGTGTTTATCTGACCGCAGGCGCGTAGCCAGCCAGGGGGGGGGGGGGGGGGGGGTCCTCCAAAATCGGAAGAGGACGTAGAAAGTAAAAGGAGCAGACAAAGAAAATCTTTGAAATTCAGACAAGGATTAAGAGTATAGAGAACGGTACAACGTATCGTCTTCTTTCTCTATTAATTTAATGAAACGTCAAAGCTTCGCGCAGGAGGGGAGGGGGGGGGGGGGGGGGGGACTGAATTCAGACAAGGATTAAGAATCGAGAACGGTACAGTGAATCGTCTTCTTTCTCTTATAATCTTATGAAACGTCAAAGCTTTTGCGCGGGAGGGGGGGGGGGAACCTGAATTCAGACGAGGATTCAGAGGCGAGAACGGTAATAATAATCTTTAATGAAACGTAAAGGCTTCCGCGTTTTGCGCGAGGTTGGAGGGGGAACTAAATTCCGACGAGGATTATTTTCGAGAACGGTACAACGAATCTTCTTTTTTCTCTATTGATTTAATGAAAATTAAAAGCTTCCGCGCGGGGGGGAACCTGAATTCAGACGAGGATTAAGATTCGAGAACTGTACAGCCAATCGTCTTCTTTCTCTCATAATCTTATGAAACTTAAAAGCTTCCGCGCTTTGCGCGGGAGGGGGGGGGAGCTGAATTCAGACGAGGATTAAGAGTCGAGAACGGTACAACGAGTCGTCTTCTTTCTCTAATGATTTAATGAAACGTAAAAGCTTCCGCGCTTCGCTCGTGAGGGGGAACCTGAATTCAGACGAGGATTAAGAGTCGAGAACTCTACAACGAATCGTCTTCTTTCTCTAATAATTTAATAAAACGTAAATTTTTCCGCGCTTTGCGCGGGATGGGGAAAAACTAAATTTAGACGCGGATTAAGAGTCGAGAACGGTACAATG